CCGTCGCCGTTTAGAATTATACAATTTTAATTTTTGGTTTTAGTAAACTAAAATTATATTAACAAGAGCTTCGCTTTTAGCCCTGGCTAAAATTATATATTAGTGATATTAAATTCAGCTTTTACCTGTAACTTTAAGAAACACCTTTGCACTGTCTGTAAACCCTACAGTGTTCGTTGAACTGCAAGTATAACTTCCAGTATCGGAACCCTGAGCTGAGCAAAACTGTAGGGTACTTCCAAAGCCAACGATCTCGCGTGAATTATCTCGTATCCATGTTGTATTTGGAGAAGGATAACCCTCTGCTAGACAAACTAGTGCTGTGTTTCCGCCGACTGGGACAGTACTGTTTTGATACTTAATAATTTTTGCAGGATCTATTCCAATTGAAAACAATGTATTGTTATTATGTGTTTCAGTAATTGGTAGTTTAAAAGCCTTGTGCAAGTGATAAATCCAGGCCTTCATATCCCCGAAACAATCTTTAGTCTTTCTTATAAAATAATAAGATGCTTTATTTTAACTGGCGCATACTCTTAGTTGCGTGGGTTAGTTAAAAAAGAAAACTTCACCAGCTAAATTCTCAGGTATGCCACTGTAAATGAAAAATTATAGAATAAAAATGATTAAAACAATATAAAATCTATTTACAATTAAAATTAAGTTATCATACATAAAATACTATTAACAATTATTTATAAAATTGATAAAAAAGGCGATTCGTCGGTACTAAAATAATGACTCATTTTCTAACAGTTTTTTGAACGTTTTAAAATCGGACGACGCTCTTACGACATCAGGCAAGTTTTTCCAGATCTTGGGCGCCTGGTACCGCCAGGAATTGAGTGCAAAGCGTGTTGTGCTGACCTTTGGCACTTTTAAAATGTCCTTTCCTCTGAAGGCATATGTTGTTTCTCGTAATGAGATTAACTCATTCAAGCTCTCCGGGTTCGTTTTATTATTTACGAGTTTAAAAACCGAACAGAGAATTTTACTGAATCTCTGTTCCTTCGGGGTTCTTCTACATAAAAGCTTGAGAAGTTCTTCATATGTAATGTGTTAGTCTCTAAAAACAAACCGAATTGCTCTTTCATTTACTTTCTCCAGTTTTTCAGCCAAACTCTTATTGCAGAAATGCCAGGTTTGTGCACAGTAATTGAAATATGGTTCAATAAATGATATGTAAATATTCCTTCTCAAATCGAAAGGAAGTATATTTCTCATGCGCAATCTTTTCACATAATCTTCATAATGTATATAATAATGTCTGAAACTTTCACTAAGATTGATTCACTGCAACACCTTGAAATTTCAAGACAAACCTATCCTACGAACCTGTCAAAATTCTGCGTTGCAACATTCACTGTTTTGACGTTATGCTAATTTTTCCGAAATAGTGCGCACTATTTTAGTTTACTTAAAACTGCTTTTTCACTAATTTCAATCCATAGCCAATTGCTGGACAAGAAAAAAGCCACTCTTAAGGTGATTGAAAAATGTCGGTATGGCCTCTGAAAAACTGTATCAAAACACCTTAAAACTGCAACTTGTTGAGATTCTTTTCTACAGATATTGGCAATTTGCTTATCGAATTTGAACATATCATCAACAGTAACTCTAAGCATCTGTAGCACATCGCCTATTTGGAATGATGTTACTTTGCCAGCGAAATTTCGGATTAACTTTCTTATGGCCCATCACCATAGCCTGGTATTCACAATGGTTTTTTTTCATGCCCTTTTCCAAAAACCATTTATCTACGTATGATAAGTCCGAGTTTCTGCTTTCCTGGACTATCAAAGGATCCTTATCGCCAAAGAAAATTTGTGTGTCATCTGCATAGGTCGATAGGTTACTACGCTTTATCACGTAAACAAGATCGTTCATAAATATGTTGAATAGAACAGGGCCAAGTATGTATCCTTGGGGAATTCAGGTCGTTATATCCTGCCATGTAGTTTCACCCGTTGCCTTCGATTAAAGAGATGGCCCTTTATAAGGTTAATAATTTTGTCGTCAACCTGATGTTGCTTTAATTCAGCACTATCAGATCATGCGACAGAGTGTCAAAGACCTTTGATAGATCCATTGACACTACGCCGATTACTTTATGATTGTCAAGCTCTTGCTTCCATCGTTCTGTTAGACTAAGAATAGCAGTGTCACATCCACAGTGTTTCCTATATGCGAACACATATTTGTGATAACAGATATACGTTTTCAAAATGAGGACTAAGTCGGCATGCACTATTGATGCAAACACTTTCGAAAGTGAGGGTAAGATGGTCGCTGGCCTGTAATTTGATTTGTCCAGACTACATTCCTTTTTAAACCCTGGTGTAACTTCACCGAGTTTCCATTGCTGCGGTATTTTTGAATTGTTTAAAACATAGTTGATCAGTATGCTCATTGGATAACACAGAACATCAGCAGACAGCTTCACTGCACTTTGAGGAATGAGATCACAGCCTGTTGCTTTGTTTTGTTTCACGTGATATGAATCGAAGTCAAATCACACTTCTTGATTTGATTGATAATTAGGCTTAGTAGTAACTAACTGACTTTACGATAAAAAACTGTAAGGACTTTAAGTTATAGCCATACTTACATATAACATCAACTGTAAGTAAATGACTAACAGAATTTCCTACTCCATTGAATGATGTACAACGGTATGTTCCAGCATCACTACGACTAACATTTTCAATTTTGTTTCTGGTCCCCAAGTGCAGTACTTTGTTTTTGCCGCCTTCCTGTCCTATTTTGGTCCAAGTGATGTTTGGTGCTGGCTTTCCAGATGCTTCACAAACTAGCAGTAGATTACCGCCTTCAATAACAGACTGATCACTGCTTACATTAATGAACTTGGCGTGAGCTGTAAAGGGATAAAGATTAATATTATTATTATTATTACATTATTGTTGTTGAGTTACGTGCAAACGGACGCAACAATGTTGGCCAACAACTCCCAACATTGTTGGGAGTTGTTGCGTCCGTTTGCACATAGCTAAAAGTTTCCCTGGTTTCAAGCTTGGCGTAACAACTCCCAAAAACACGCAACATGCAACAGGGTGCGCAAACGGACGCAACATGTAGCATCCAATTGCCGGTTGGGATTTGTTGGCCATCAATGTTGCATGCATCCCTTTGCAGTGGATGGCAAATAATTAGTTATTATTATTATTATTATTATTATTATTATTATTATTATTATTAAGATAATAACAATGCAAAATTCACGGATAACAGGCTCTTAAGGAGTGAATTAAGCTACTCTCAAAAATCATAACTTTCCAAATAGTTAAACTCGATAAGCCCATTTTAAGCTCGTCAATGTAAGAGGCCTCCTTGTAGTAGCTCATTTTATTTTGTATACTGCTCCCAGTCTGTACTCCGGTCTGTCTTTATCTTTGACATTTATAAGCAGTGGACGTTAAGTGGTTTGTGCAGGGGTGGATCTAGGGGGAGGGTGTAGGGGGTGGGCATCCCCTCTCCCTGAGATGACCCGCGGCTTCCTTCTGCAAAATATGCAGACATGTATGATATGTATTCTCAGCAGTTCATATTATGTTATTGCCTAGTCAAAAGCCTGCTTCTTCGTATTCGCTTTCAAAATTTGTTTACGTTTCCATAGAATCCAGGAAATGATTGAATCTAAAAGAAGAACTTGATTTATTGTATGTTATCGGACGTCCATTCAAAATATTCCATTTGTTTGGCTTTACTGCCAAGTTTGTTGTATCGCTTTGTGCGTTTTGTAAACTTTGAAGGGATTTTGGGTTTTTCTTTTCCGTCATTCATTTCCTTGGTGGTAGTGTTAATGCAAATCATAATGTTTGAACGCGCTCGCCTAGCTTTGCCCGCAAAAACGTACCTGAGAATGTCGAAGGAAATCTCTTTGGCGAGTGGAACGTTTTTGAGGCAAGGAGGCAGACATTGCTCTATTTTTGCAAGTGGCAAGAATAAGAAATATCAGAAACATCTTTAGTGTGCGCTTGCATGGCAAACTAGTCGATTATAGCTCGAAATAGGACGATCACAAGCAACGAACCTTGTAACACAGAAACGAACCAAACGGATCGAAATCCACCTATCACAAGTCCCAAACCATGACCTTTTGAACTCCTTCAAGCTAACATGTGTTTTCTAAGAGATCCAGTAAGATGATTGAAGGAACAGAAAAACCCAAAATTCCCTCCAAGTTTGCAAAACGCGCAGAGCGCTACAACGAATTTGGAAGTAATCCGCTGGCTAAATTTGCATAACAAGCTGGCGCTGACCAAGTTTGAAAGATGCCAGCAATATACAATCATTGACAACAGTTGCTCTGACTTCAATGATTGTATATTGACGATATTTGATAATTGACGTCACGCTTGAGAGCGGCGTGACCTCAAGAAAATGGAGGAAGATTTCACGGCTATAGAGAGGGAGAGAGAAGATTAAGCCCAAATGCAGACTAAAACTGCAACGGAGATGCAAAATATATTGCTCAATGGGCGTGATTTTCTTTTGAGGAGTACCTGAAAGCAGAGAATTGTTCATAATATTGTAAAACTGCACCGAAATAGGAAAACGAGATAGGAGAAATTGAAGTATGATAAAAACCTAGAAATATTTTGAATGGTAAATGAAACAGTTATTGAATTTGGCCTTAGTATGATGTTTGAGGACTTATATGCAGATAGAGAAAGATGTTATCCACCAAGGCAGAAGGCTGATTCTTCGTATCAGACGCTATAAAAAAAACCATGTTAATTAAAGAGTATTTGCACAATGAGCCTATAGTAAAGAAAATTAATCAAAACTTCTGTAATCAGTGAATTATGAAAATAGTACGTGAACATGATGAACTTTTCATTATTGAGTTTACTGACGGAACATGAACTAATTGGCATACCTACAATAGTCACTTTGAGGTCGCATTTCCATCCTTTTAGTGAAATCTTCGTTTCATAAGACCAAACCTCAAATCTAAATGTTCCTTTGTCAGCAGTAGTTACATTGAAGATAATTAATGTAGCATAAGATGGAGGGATCCAACTTATGTTAAACCTTGAAATAAAGCGTTCGTATACCCCAACAAATCCTGTCGTGTCAATAAGGGCTGCGTATGCACCATCAAAAAATAAATAGACTTGGAAAGAAACGAACTTTGAAAGACTAAAGTTCCACCTCAATAGTTCATTAACAGATCCTTCTCGGAGCTGAATGCTGGTTGCGTGAACCACTCTGGGATCTCTTACTGTCCGAACCGGGAGAGGTTCATACCAAGTGATACTTGAAACAACATCTAAAATAACAGCACGAAAAAAAACCTTATTAGGTAATATAGTCAATAATGTCATTATGGCTTGACCAGTAACAATGACGGCACCTAACTGAACCAGATGCATGTCGTGTCAAATTTTTCAACCTTCCACGCCTTCGACATTTAAAGGCTGTACATACAATTCGAAAAAAAAGAAGCAAAAGAAAACAAAAATTCGACTCCAAAACAGCTTTTCCTAAAAAAACTGACTCTTTGTTTGTTTGTACTTTGACACGGAAGATCGATTTCCTGCGTACGGACTTCTACTATCATCGAGAAGGGTATGCACACAGGGTATGGCAGTAATGTCATCATGACGTCATTTCAATTAAGAAGGAACTGGAACCATCGACCATGCTCAATGTGCCATTTTAATACTATATCAGTATTCTATTTTTACACAAACCCTTATAAATGGAGGTAATCATGAAAGAAATTTTTAGTTTTGATTTTACAGTTTTCAGAGGGAAGGAGGCAAAACAGAAACTGGTCGTTGAAGATCCTCGGCCTCAATAATGATTAGGATAAGATTACATGTCGCACTATAAATCGTGGCTTGTGACTACGGCTCAGTGATACTTAGTCGAACCTCCCGCAAACGAACGACCATCCAAAGTGTGAAGAAATGTGATCGATCACTTGATGTGGTGATTTACGAGAATCAAACCAGGGCTTTGAAGAACCATTACCGTGTAGAAGCAACTGGGAAAATTTTAATATTTTAGATAGCTGATCGCTTACGTGAGGTCATCGCATACTGATGTTCAACGGTAGCACACCCAGAATCCACTCATTTAAAAGTCAAAAATTAGGATATTAATGTTTCCATGAGTCAGGTCCGCGTGCTTCGTCTAAACGCGAATCATTCCCTAAGAAGTTATCCCCACAATTAGGAAGACCCTCGATAACAATGACCTCAACCAGGTTGTGGCATTCAGCGATTTTAATGAAAATAAGAGTTTGGATGGTGTGCTCAGTCTCGCGGGCTCAACAGACCTAGTCTCGTCCATTCTTATTTAAGGATTCTCCCAAAATTACAAAGATGAAGAAGCTATGTTGGTTTCCTTCCGAGGGGAAGAAAACATTGATAATGGCCGCAAACTCCCGAAGAATATGCCGTCGCATTTTGCTGTGAAAACGATATTACCACTCTTCACTTTTAATAGATAGTTAAAAACTTCTTGTTTTATAATTCTCTAAAACTGTGCTCGTTCTAACTTTTCCAACACAGGTCGACATTATCCTCTGGTAATTTAATTAAGCTTAATTTCTTTTATCACAAGACCCAGAGTAACCATATAAAGGTGAAATGAGAAAGATGATAGATCAAAAGGTCTTACTGTCTATAAACTTAATCTGAAAAGCTTTATAGAAGTATTGGTGCTTTTTATTCTTTTGTTTTCGAATATGATTACGTCAAATGTAAAGAAAAAACAACAACAACAACTACTAAACCGGGCAGTTTGATTTTTTGTTTTAAGTCACCGTGCACATTAAATCAAATCATTTTGGATGTTACTTGCTGCCTCCGATTCCACACCCTGTTACATTTTGTTGCGCGTTGTTCAAAGTTGTTGCACAAAGTTTGAAACCGCTCAATCGTTTAGCTACGTGAAAACGGGCGCAACAACTCCCAACATGTTGGGAGTTGTTGCATCCGTTTGCACGTAGCTTAACAACTGACCTATTCTATCTATTAACGAGTATGTGAGCGAAACTCTTTATTTAAAAACCCGTACTAGCTACGGTTGTGGTATATTTTTCTCGAATATGCGCCTAAGATGATAGGAGACTTACCTAAAACAGCTGAAATATAAATCAAGCACAAAAGATTGAACATCGTCAAAAACCCAAGGAGTAATTATGTCTCCAAGTCATTACAAAGTGAATTTAGAAGCATGCCAAAATGATTTATTTGTATCATGATTTATGATCACACATCAGTTATTCTTTGCTGATATTGAATTATTAAATTGCCCATATGTGATAGCATATTTACTCGTTACTTTCGTATACTATTGGCTCTTTTTGTTGCCAAACTCATCAAAGCGAAATGGTTTAAATGATAAGAGATATCTAACGAGGAACTATAGCGTAAATAACGTATTGATGTAGATAGTAAAGCCTTTCCTTGAACATGACCACGCGGTAAAAATAGATAGATATCAATTACAAAGGCAACTCGATGATGCATAACATGCTCTTTAATTTGAACAGTAAGAGAAGAACTTTCCAAACATAGTTTTGTCCTTAAGAGTGGTAGCAAACAGAAATCAGCCTACGTTTTTATGAGTGCTTTTTTTTACTGACAGGAATTTTATTGACAGCCAGTTGTTGGTCTTCAGGGTTTCGTATTATTCGCTTTAACCGTTTTTATTCAAAATGACTTCAAAATATTTGTTGAAGGGGTATTGAGAAGAGTGATTCAAATTGATAGAGCTTTTTAAGATCTCTGTCAGCCGAATGTGGTGATTCTAAGAGCCTTTTTACATGGAGTGGGGGATCCCGGTCTAGTGGAATAGGTTTCTTTTGTTTCGTGTCCCCCAGAGCGTGAAAACAAAAGAAACCAACCCCACTAGACCGGGGTCCCCCACTCCATGTAAACAGGCCCTAAGACGAGGAAGGCTACGAGATTTTCTTAACATTCAGTATTGTGCGCGCGTAAATCATTCTGGCGGGAAAACTTGATAGCCGTCTTCATTCCATTTTGTAGTGGAAGTTTCGTTGTGACGAAAACAAAGATGTTGGAAGTTCAATCATTTTGCGATCGAGACGGGGCTAAACTTTTCTGGTGAAACAAAGTGAAATGAAGCTTTCCGGGGGTGTCTTTTCTTGGGGGAACACGTGATTATTATTAGTACTCTAATTTTTCCTTTTAAAATTTTCATTGTCATAATTTATTTTTGTGCAAGAGTGAGTACAAATAATGATTGTTGTTGTTGTTTTTTTTTTTCAGCAAACTGTCTTCATCGTAATCGTCCTCGTCCTCTAAAAATCTCTATTACCAATGAGAACCATCCAAGTTAATTATTATCAATCAAGATTTTAGCGGGGCTCCCGCGCGCGCGAAGCGCGCGTGGGACAGAGCCCCATACTCATGGAATATGGTCAACCTCTTTTCGTTTGGTTGTCACGTGATTGACCGAGCGTACGTACGTACGTACGTACGCGTCTACAGATTGTATGGGTGGGGTAGGGGAGACTATCAAAAGGAAGGGAGGGGTGTCTCAGGCGTGTCTTGGCAAGTCCACGTCTTTAATATAGGACATTAACAATATGGTCAATTGACAGCTGTTCAAACAGGATAGCCACTGACCAGTATCCCATGACCATATCGCGGGCTCATGTGTCAACTCATCGAGGTGACGTGATTTATTTGGAAGCTGTCCGCTGACCAGTTAACTGTTTTACTAGATCGCGAACAACGTTCAATCTCATACTTTTACTAGTTTGGGAGCACAGGAAAACTGATAATGCACACATATTGGACATCAATGTTTTGATCAATTGACAGCTGTCAAAACAGAGTACCCGCTGACCAGTATCACTTGACCGTATCGCGGGCTCAAGTGTCGACCCGTCGAGGTCAAGTATTTTTTGAAGTTATCCGCTGACAAGTAAACTAGTTTTCAAGTGATCGCAGGCTCAAGTTCAATTTTTTTTCTTAATTCATATGAAATATGTTGTGTTTATGTGCTGCACAATTAAAATTTTGATTGCAAACTGACCTCGGACGTGAAAATTCAGCCAGCTGTTACAGGCAGGGAAGACAGTTGCTTTTGTTTTTTCTCACAATGGTCACGCGTTGGGCACGCTCTACGTCCAATTTTTATGCTCTGATTGGTCAAAATTTGACAGGTGAGTTCATGCGCAAAATTTATGCAGCATCTTGAATCTTGTTTACTTTAACAGCTGAAGCTGACAGAGTTTTGTGTCAACTTGTGATGTTTTTAACTGTCTTTTTCCACTGGATGTACAAAATGAAATTCAGCTGCTATCAGGAGTCTTCTGTTACTCATGGCTAGTTTGTTTATTGGGTTTTTGGTTGAGAAAACGTCGCTTGTCAAAGTCGGAAATCCGATTTCGGATGGCATCGTTTTCGTTTTCACCTTGCTTGATGCGTAAGAGGATTGCAAAGTCTGAAGCGATACTGGCTTTACCTGATAACTTTCAGGAGCTGCATCTCGAATGGTAAGCCAGAGAAATTATTGTATTTCATGTTTGTTTTTTGTATCTAATTTAATGAAGTGGAGCGTAGTTTATGCGGGAATTTAGTTTATGCGCGTTTGTAAGATTTGAGACAACGATCTCACCGAGTATCTGGTTTGATATAATCTTACAGAACTTTAAAAAGCCTTTAGACAGTTTCTCACCGCAAATAGAAAGAAAATGTTCCAAAGAATCTTTAGTTATAATTCTAGCCGGAAAAGAAAGCTTTGAGCGATTTTCTTGCCTCGAGTTCGTCTTTGAAAAACAAACACCGGGAAGCTGGCTTAAAACATAAACTTCAGCAAACTTAAGCTTGAAGCTTGAAGATTCAGGATATTTAGGGACACTTTAATACTTGTCTTCCTGAATGAAAATTGTTGTCTCTGTTTATGTTTCACCGAATTATATTTCTTTTATTGATTGTTAGTAGTCTCTCTTGCAATTTTAATCGCTATGCCGATTGTTTTCAGTCGTTCAGTGAACATCGCTTGCAGGAGTTCTCAAAATGCCGCGCGTTAAACCATCAAATAAAAAATAAACATGATAAATTCTTTATTATCTTGGAGCGTAACTCTGTTAATGTTCATTCAAACACTCGCTACAGCTCGCACTACAAAAGTGAGAACTGGATGGCCGTATAGGTGATTTTGGAAAATTTTTTTAACAGTTTATGAATATTGAATGAGAGCAATTTGTATTGTGAAA